CCCCCCAATAACGAGACCAAGCTCCGCTTTGAGGGTAAAACACGAACTCATTTACTGTGGGCTACCTGCCCGGTATTTATGCAGGTCTCCCACTTGGTGGACACTCCCCTAGGGGACCAAATGGGAGACTGGAATAACAGAAGGACATGGGGACATTTCAGACATACATCCCCACAATATTCCCAGCATGCATCACAGTTCCCTCCCCTCTGCTCGGGAGATAATTGGAAAGTAATTCAATTATCTCCCCGAGCAGAGGCAAATCGCCATTTTAACTCAAAGTTATAAAACACATTAAAATATATAACTTTCTAATTGCCGAACATATTGTATTCGTGTAACACATCCCCAGATAGCCTGGATCTGAGTGCATATTATTGGCGAATAGCGCTCAGATCCCATTCGCATAGTTCAATCGCCATGGAGTCAAAGTCTATTACAGTTCTTCGGTATGCGATTGACTCCATGGGAAGGCTATCTGGGTTAAGTCCATTCATGTTGTTGAATCTCCCGAACGGCCGGCATTCGTATGCTTTTGTCGATTGAGAAGGGGAGGTCGACGGCTTCAGCGGTGTTCGGTTGAAAAAGTGTCCGTTTTCAGTTCCATGAAATAACCGTCGAACACCGCTGGTCTTTCGCATGGTTTAAAATGGCCGCCGCCTCGTGGTCGACATACGAACGACGACCACCCGGTATTCGGTTTTAATTGAGAAGTGTCTGTGGTTAACCGCAACTTTCTAATTGGGATCAATAGGTTAACCAGCAGCACACTTCTCTTCTGGGTGGCCGTCCGTTCGGTAGTTCCGTTCGACAAAAAAAAGACATTCCCTTAAACAAAGTATACAAATGGGGAATTCATGCAAATGGCAAAACAGACGAACACAGTACTTTTAGTCCATACAGATGGGTCTGTCACAAATACTAATTAGTGGGGGGACCTAATGTCCTCCTCCCTGGCCCCCACCCCTGAGCAGTGGGTGGGGACCCTAAATACTAATTAGGGGGGGACCTAATGTCCTCCCCCATGGACCCCGCCCCTAAGCGGTGGGTGGGGGCCCTAAATTAAAAAAATAACCCCCCCTCCCCCGGGTGACTAGGGGTCCCCAAACCCCTAGTCACCTCCTTCCCCTCAAAAAATTATCCCCTACCTACCCCCATCACCCTAAAAATAATGAGGGGGTACCTGAAAAAAAAATAAAACAACATTTGATGTTTGCTTTCTTCTAAAATCTTCTTTTTTCAGCCCCAAAAAAGGCCAAATAAAAAGCCATAATAACCGACGCACTTAAAAAAAACAAAAAAAAACTCATAACACTGATTGGTGGATTAAGTAACCAATCAGAGAGTTATGAGTCAAATTACACAGCTTGGGAAAATTCCAAAGAACTTTCCCACTGTGTAAAATGACACAGAGCACTCTGATTGGTGGATTTCAAACCAACCAATCAGAGTGCTGTGACAGGTAAATGTAGAGACTTAACTGTCAGTCTCTTCATTTACCTGTCAGAGCACTCTGATTGGATGGCTTAAACCCACCAATCAGAGTGCTCTGAGCCTAATTGCAGGGCGGGGCAAGGCTTTATAAGGGCGGGGGGCCCTGCAGAGCTCAGTCTGCGCGGAGCCCTCCATGGGTGAAGATGGATAATTTTTTTGTTATTTGGCCTTTTTTGGGCTGAAAAAAGAAGATTTTAGAAGAAAGAAAACATCAAATGGTAAGTTTTATTTATTTTTCAGGTACATAGTTAAATGGTCCCCCCTCATTATTTTTAGGGTGAGGGGGGTAGGTAGGGGTTAATTTTTTGGAGGAGGGGGGTGACTAGGAGTTTGGGGTCCCCTAGTCACCTGGGGGAGGGGTGTTTTTTTTTTATTTAGGGCCTCCATCCACTGATCAGGGGTGGGGGCTGGGGGGGAGGACATCAGGTCCCCTCCCTAATTAGTATTTAGGGCCCCCACCCACCAATCAGGGGTGGGGGCCAGGGGGAGGACATTAGGTCCCCCCCTAATTAGTATTTAGGGCCCCCACCCACCACTCAGGGGTGGGGGCCAGTGGGGGAGCACATTAGGTTCCCTCCCTTATTCTAATTTAGGGCTCCCACCCACCCCTCAGGGGTGGGAGTCAGGGGGAGGACATTAGGTCCCCCCTAATTAGTTTTTAGGGCCCTCACCCACTGCTCAGGGGTGGGGGACAGGGGGGAGGACGTTAGGTCCCCCCAATTAGTGTTTAGGGCCGCCACCCACCGCTCAGGGGTAGGGGCCGAGGAGAGGACAATAGGTCCCCCCATTATTTTACTTTAGGGCCCCCATCCGCCACTCAGGGGTGGAGGCCAGGGGGGAGGACAATAGGTCCCTCCCATTATTTTACTTTAGGGCCCCCACCCGCCGTTCAGGGGTGGGGGCTGAGGGGGGGCAATTGGTCCCCCCCCATTATTTTACTTTAGGGCCCCCACATGCCGCTCTGGGGTGGGGGCCAGGGGGTACAATAGCCCACCCTTTAGTTTAAAAGCCCCCACTCGTACGTCATGGGTGGGGGCTCGTGAGGGGTAACCATTTTTTTTTTTAAAAAGCCACTGGCTGCTCACTGTTTAAAAGGTATGCCCCTACTCGCGGTATAGTGAGTAGGGGCACAATTTACTAATAATACGTAATTTTTACCGTGGGAATTAGGGAGTTATCTACCAAGCGGCTGCAAGAGACATTCCAAAATTCTGAAGTGCCGAAGTTGTCGAAGTTGCCGAAGTGCCGAATTGCCGAATTGCCAAGGTCCCGAAGTTCCGAAATTACAGAATTTCCGAAGTGTCGAAGTGCCGAAGTTCCGAAGTGTCGAAGTACCGAAGTTGCCGAAGTTCCGAAGTGTCGAAGTGCCGAATTGCCGAAGTGCCGAATTGCCGAAGTCTCGAATTTCGGAATGCTGAACCGAACTGAAAAAATTTCCCATGCCTAATGCCTACTGTGTCCCATTATTAGGTTCTGTTTCCTCAGTAGTTCTATCTGTCACTCTACATATTAAATGTTGAATAACAAAGATAAATTGCTTAATACCATAACAAATTATTCAATATGTTTTGTTTTCCAAAATTAATATGAAAGTGTTGTGATTGCCATCATAGGACATTTTCTTAGCATGTGCAACCCAGGATTGTGTTTTATTAAAAGGAGACTATTTAAAAAACTCAAAACTCATGCATTGAGACAAGTGCCATTTCTACTCATCAAACAAGCTAAAATACAACTAAACTATTTTTAATTTATCAGTTGAACAATCATCTTTTACAATTAAAATGAGCTATTAGCGCATGTACAGTTAGTGACCAACATGGGTGATGGTGTTGACTACTGTCTCACACCTTGTGCACACCTTTGTTTGGTATGTTCCTATTGAAGATGACATTAACTAGTAGATTTTGGTGACAGATTATATTTTTCTCAGTGGTAGAAAGAGGATCCAGGCAATAAAAGTATCTTCAAATGTATTTATTGGGACAAGTGAGAGACTGCAATGTTTCGACCCCTGAAAGGGTTTTTGTCAAGCTCAAGATTGTATTTTTAATATGAATATGGGTGCAACCAGGCCGGTCCCAGTACCAAGAACCCAATACTTGATAAGGCAAAAAATAGAAAGAGATCCAGGCACTCCAGAATCCAAAGAAGGCAAATTTATTAAACCCACCGCCAATCACAATGTTTCAACCAGAACGGTCTTTGTCACTTTTTTACTTTAAATGGTTAAGAACTGGAGTTATTTCTGGTATTACATGATGTTTTCTGTCACCTGGTTCAATCATGCAGGCTTAGTAACCAAATCTTCCATGTGAAGAAAATTGGAAAACAGATGACTCATGTGGGCCTCAGCTTGTAACTTGTACCATATAAAGAAAATGCCCTCTTGAGACTTGAACTTTACAGATAGTTTGACTCTTTTCCTAGCTTTTCCTGAGCTTGGTAAAAATACTGACAGTTTAAGTGCTGAAGATTAGGTTTAGCAATGTAGTGATTACTGTGTTGAGTCAACATCATTGCAGAATTCGTGTATAGGATTCATATAAATAGGGAACTTGATGACCACAGAATACATATTTCAGAAACTGACATTTTGATCTGCTGGAAGACAGGTCCATTATAATTTAAGGTAAAACTTATATTTTAGAAGATAAGGATATGGAGTTCATTCATTTGATAGTGAACTGAATTGAAAGCTGAACTGCAAAATGCAGGGCAGATATTGGAAGTAGATTTTTTTCCTACTTAAAGGACCACTCTAGGCACCCAGACCACTTCAGCTTAATGAAGTGGTCTGGGTGCCAGGTCCAGCTATGGTTAACCCATTTTTTAATAAACATAGCAGTTTCAGAGAAACTACTATGTTTATTAATGGGTTAAGCCTTCCCCCAAAGCCTCTAGTGGCATTCTCATTGACAGCCACTAGAGGTGCTTACGTGCTTCTCACTGTGATTTTCACAGTGAGAGCATGCCAGCGTCCATAGGAAAGCATTGTAAATGCTTTCCTATGCGACCGGCTGAATGCGCGCGCAGCTCTTGCCGCGCGTGCGCATTCAGCCGACAGGGCGGAACGGAGGAGGATCGGAGGAGGAGAGCTCTCCGCCCAGCGCTGGAAAAAGGTAAGTTTAAACCCCTTTCCCCTTTCCAGAGCCGGGTGGGAGGGGGTCCCTGAGGGTGGGGGCACCCTCAGGGCACTATAGTGCCAGGAAAACGAGTGTAACGAGCGCTTACCTTTCCCCGCCTTTCCTCCTCCGATACTTCCGGGGGGCAGCTCAGCTCTTCTGACGCCGGCCGCTCGGAACACGCCCACATTTGTGACGCGGCGCATGCGCGCCGACGTCAGAAAGAAAATGCCGCCAAAATTCAAACGTGGCAACGCTCCCGGACTTTTTGGGGGCGTGGCTACAAAATTAAAGCCAAAGAACCCACACTATAAAAGGACTATCATGACACTTGTCAGATGCCCTAGTGTGGTTCTTATTTAAGTTCCCTGGTGCTATCTTATCTGTTTGTCCTTCTTGGTAATTGACCCTTGGCTATCTCTCTGACTATTCTGTGTTCTGGTTTCCCGTTACTTGGCTTGGATAATTGTGTGCCCGTCTTCCGTATTCCCTTGACCTCTGGCTATTCCTTTGACTATTCTCAGACGCTAGTCCGGCCATTCTAAGGTCCGGTAACCATCTTTCTGTGGGTTTCACGCTGTGTGAAGGGGTCACTGTTGTGACATTGGTCACTGTCGTGACATTACACTAGGGCCATGAACCCTGCAGGTGTTAACCCTCTCGGGCCGGTACCTGATGACCGGTTTGAAGAACTGGACCATCGCATGGACCAGTTCGCTATTGCGGTACAAACCTTGCTAGCTCGTACTGCCCATCTCCAACCGGAGGAGCAAACCCCAGTACTCAGACCTCAGGAACAACCCATGGAAATGGTTACTATGGGTACTCCTAATCATGCTACCTCCCCTCTCCGTTACGGGGGTGATCCTAAAGGTTGCCGAGGTTTTTTGAACCAAGTTAGTATTTATTTTGAGCTTCATCCGAGAGCATACCCTACAGATAGGGCAAAGATAGGTTACATCATCACTTTATTGGTTGATAGGGCATTGACTTGGGCGAATCCTCTATGGGAGAACGATAACCTGGTAGTGTTTAACTATGTAGAATTTGTCGCAGCTTTTAGGAGGGCTTTGATCCTCCAGGGAGGAGAACTAATGCTGCCAAGACCTTGCTACGTATGAGACAGGGTTCTCGTTCTCTTGTTGATTACGCTCTAGAATTCCGTACCCATGCGGCCAAAGTTAGATGGAATGAACAAGTGTTTATTGACGTATTCATGAACTGGCTTTCAGATAAACTCCTAGATGAAGTTGCCACTAGAGACCTACCCAATGTACTAGAGGAACTGATCACATACCTTTCCCACATTGATGAGCGTCTCCAACACAGACAGAATACTAGAGACAGACCTCGACGGGTGCCAGAACGCCTAGCATTAACCTATCCTTCATCCGAGACAACAACAGTCGCTCCTCCAGAACCTATGCAACTGGGAGTTACGCATTTGTCTGAGGATGAAAGACAATACCATCGTAGCGAGGGACTATGCCTATATTGTGGCCGAAAGGGACATTCTCGTTCAACCTGTCCTAACCGGACGGAAAACTCCCGCACCTAAGCCCTCAAGGAGGACAGGCCTTGGGTGTAATGTGTATGTCCTCCTTTAATGATAAAAAACATCATAGGCTTCTTCTACCTATTGTTATTGATTGGGAAAAGAAAAGAGTGCCAACCATTGCCTCAACAGACTCTGGGGCGGCCGAAAATTTTATTGATCATAAATTCGGTCAGGAACATGCTCTCCCATTTCAAAACAGATCAACACCCTTGGCCGTTGAGGCCATAGATGGTAGACCATTATCAATCCCGTTTATCACACAAGAGACTCTTCCAGTAGTGTTGTCCGTAGGTTCCCTGCATAAGGAGGTTATAATCCTGCAACAGGTCACTTCTCCCATCTTCCCGGTTATTCTTGGCTTTCCTTGGCTCTCTAAACATAACCCTTCTATAGATTGGGAGAAAAAAATAAATTGTAAAATGGAGTGAGACTTGCCGCAGAAAATGTATTACCCCTATTAAACACGTAGGTCTACTTAATGTACCTACTATGGAACCTTTAACCACTCAGATACCCAGACAATATTGGGATTTGAAAGCAGTTTTTGAACCAAGAGAGGCAGAAAAATTACCTCCACACCGGTCCTATGACTGTCCCATTGACTTATTACCCGGCACTATGCCCCCTAGAGGCACAGTTTATCCCCTCTCGGTAGCCAAGAATAAGGTACAAGAAGAATATATCACGGAAAACTTAAGAAAGGGGTTTATCACTAAATCTTCCTCCCCTGCTGGCGCTGGCTTTTTTTTTGTTTCCAAGAAGGAAGGGGACTTAAGGCCCTGTATTGATTATCGGGGTTTAAACAAAATAACTATACGTAACGCCTATCCTATTCCTTTAATCACAGAACTTTTCAATAGATTAAAAGGGGCGACTATTTTTACGAAATTGGATCTGAGGGGAGCATACAATATAGTCAGGATTAAAAAAGGGCACGAATGGAAGACTGCTTTTAATACTCGCTATGGTCACTACGAGTATAGGGTCATGCCATTCGGGTTATGTAATGCCCCAGCAGTCTTTCAAGACTTCATTAATGATGTTTTAAGGGAATATTTACAGATGTTTGTTATTGTCTACTTAGACGATATTCTAATCTACTCCAAGAATATTAAAGACCACCATACTCACGTTAGGTTGGTTCTTTCTAAACTCTTAGAAAATGGACTTTACTGTAAGTTAGAGAAATGTCAATTTGATAAGGACACTGTGCATTTTCTGGGCTATATAATTTCAGGGTCTGGATTTCAAATGGATAAGAAAAAACTAGAAGCTATCCTTAATTGGCCCCTGCCCGTTGGACTCAAAGCTATCCAACGCTTTCTGGGGTTTGCCAATTATTATAGAAAATTTATTAAGGGTTTCTCCTCTATCACTGCACCTATCACTGCCATGACCAAAAAGGGGCGAAATTCTATGGAATGGAATCTCGAGGCCAAGGAAGCTTTTGAGAGACTTAAATTGTCTTAAATTGGCTTTTTCTTCTGCACCGGTGTTGAGGCATCCCAATCCCTCTCGTCCGTTTATATTAGAGGTGGATGCATCTGAAACCGGTATTGGAGCGGTGCTGTCTCAACGTCCATCTGATGATCAACCATTGCATCCCTGTGGATTTTTTTCTAAGAAATTAACTGAGACAGAAAAGAGATATGACATTGGGGACAGGGAATTATTGGCTATTATCTCTGCTCTCAAGGAGTGGTGCCATCTGTTAGAAGGGTCTACCATTCCCATCACCATCCTTACGGATCACAAAAACCTTTCGTATTTTGGAGAAACTAAAAGAATGCCAGACAGGCAGATTAGATGGTCTTTATTTTTAACACGATTCAATTACATAGTAACTTACAGACCAGGATCAAAGAACACTAAGGCTGACGCCTTATCCTGTCAATATGAACACTTATCACCTACAGTAACTCATTTTTCTTCCATAATCCCATCCAACCACATAATCGCAACCGTCCATGCCAAAATCTCTTCAGGGTTAATGGAGGAATTATCTATGTTTCAGGATCAGACCTCATTGACTATTCCCAGGGGAAAATTATACGTACCCTTGGCGTATAGGAAAAAGGTCTTATTCCTTGTACACAACTCCAAATTGGCAGGGCATCCAGGCATTCACAAAACTGAATCTTTACTCGAAGAACAGTTTTGTTGGCCTTCATACAAGAAGGACGTTCGCGAGTTCATTCTTGCTTGTAGGGTCTGTGCCTCCACGAAGTCATCCAAAGGTCGTCCTTTGGGCCTCCTTATGCCATTGTCCATTCCCGATAAACCCTGGTCAAGTATTGCTATGGATTTTATAGTGGATCTACCTCCCTCCAGGAATCATAGGGTTATATTGACTATAATCGACAGATTCTCTAAAATGACTCATCTCATCCCACTAATCAAATTGCCCTCCTCTTCTGAACTGGCCTCTTTATTTATAAAAGAGGTAGTACGTTTACATGGCATACCTCAAGATATTACTTCTGACAGGGGTCCACAGTTCATTTCACGGTTCTGGAGGGCATTTTGTGACCAATTAGGTATTGTCCTTAACCTTTCATCTTCTTACCATCCCCAATCTAATGGGGTTACGGAAAGGATGAATCAATGCCTGGAACAATACATCCGCTGTTTCACTTCTGAGCACCAAGACGATTGGGTGGAACTGCTTCCATGGGCTGAGTTCGCCCATAATAATCTGATGCACGAATCCACTCAACATAGTCCCTTTTTTATTAATTATGGGTTTAATCCTACAACTTTGCCGAGTTCTTTTTCATCTACAGGAGTGCCTAGTGTTGACAGCACTCTTCACCAGTGGCGTACTTACCAGGGTCGCAGGGGTCGCGGTTGCGACCGGGCCCGGCCCACCAGGGGGCCCGGCCGCCCCTGCGACCCGGTATGTAGCCACTGGGCCAGCCTCTTCTCCTGGGGGGCCCAGGAGCCGACCACCCCAGGGCCCCCCGAGGCTGGCCCTGCTGACCCCAGCTGGCGGGTGGCCGGTCGGGAAGGCGGGCGTGCGAGGGAGCTCCTCTTCAGCTCCCTCGCGCACCACACTGATACCGGAGCCGGAAGATGACGTCATCTTCCGGCACCGGCAACCCTACGCGGCGCGCGAGGAAGCTGAAGAGGAAGCACTGAGTGCTCCCTCGCGCGCCCGCCTTCCCGACCGGCAACCCGCCAGCTGGGGTCAGCAGCACCACTGGAATCCCCCCATCACTCCAAAAGGTAAGGAGGCTGGGGGGATTACATTAAAAAAACACGTGTTAGTGTGTGTGTGTTAGAGTGAGTGTTAGTGTTAGAGTGTGTGTGTGTGTGTGTGTTAGAGTGTGTGTGAGTGTGAGTGTTAGAGTGTGTGTGAGTGTGAGTGTTAGAGTGTGTGTGTTAGAGTGTGTGTGTTAGAGTGTGTGTTAGTGTTAGAGTGTGTGTGTGTGAGTGTTAGAGTGTGTGTGTGTGTGAGTGTTAGAGTGTGTGTGTGTTAGAGTGTGTGTGTGTGTTAGATTGAGTGTGAGTGTTAGATTGAGAGTGAGTGTTAGATTGAGAGTGAGTGTTAGTGTGTGTGTGTCTGCTAGTGAGTGTTAGTGTGAGTGTTAGTGTGTGTGTCTGCTAGTGAGTGTCAGTGAGTGTTACTGTGTGTGTCTTACTGAGTGTGTGTGTTAGTGAGTCTGTTTGATGTCTGTTAGTGAGTGTGTGTTTGTCAATGAGAGTGTATGTTTTGTAAGTGAGTGTGTATGTATGTCGCTGAGTGTGTCTCTGTCAGTAAATGTGTGTGTCTGTTAGCTAGTGTGTATGCGTCTGTAAGTGTGTGTGTGTTCTCAGCACTTACCTTTCTCCAGCGCCGGACTCCCTTGGCGCTGAGGATCCCTCAGCCTCTCAGCTCCGAATGCGACCGCGCACGCATTCAAACCGCCCATAGGAAAGCATTACTCAATGCTTTCCTATGGACGCTCAGTGTGCTCCTCTAGCGGCTGTCAGTGAGACAGCCACTAGAGGCTGGATTAACCCTCAGTGAAACATAGCAGTTTCTCTGAAACTGCTATG